GGATTTTTTCAATACAAAGTTTCATCAATATGTTTTCGAGTATGAATAAATAAATAAATATTATAAAGCTAAAGTTAAATTAACCACAGAATACAAACTAAAAAGCCGAAAAGCAGCTGGTAATAAATTTAACCTTCCGTATTCAGATTTTTCAGCTAATTGTTCGAAATCTTATAATTTTGTGACAGGAGACCACAACATTAAAAAAGATAACTAAAATTAAATTAAAAATTAGACAATACATATTTTATTTATTTTGATTAGATATTTTTATTTGTTTATTGAAAAATAAATTAATCCTTCGTATTTTGTTTTTTATTCGAAGGAAAAATCAAAAACACTTAAAAAAACCGAAACACAGTGGCCTAATCTTAAAATGTAAGTTGTTTTAAAAACTAAGGCTCCGGCATCATAAAAGTAGACCTTTAAATTGGATAAATTCGAAAAACTTGAATAAGCCGAAACGCAGTGGCGTAATCTTAAAATGGAGGTCATTTTCAAAATCTACGACTCCGGAAACATAAGAATACACTCTTTTATGATAAAAATTCGAAACACTTAAATAAATCGAAATGCGGTGGCCTAATCTTAAAATGGAGGTCGTTATCAAAATCTACGGCTCCGGAAACATAAGAATACATCCTCATATGAAAAAAATCCGAAAAACTCAAAGAAATCGAAACGCGGTGGCCTAATCTTAAAATGGAGGTCATTTTCTGAATCTACGGTTCCGAAAACATAAAAGTAGACCTTTAAATTGGACAAATTCGAAAAACTTAAATAAGTCAAAATGCAATGGCGTAATCATAAAATGGAGGTTATTTTCAAAATCTACGGCTCAGGAAGCATAAAAGTAGACCTTAATATTGGATGAATTCAAAAAACTTAAATAAGTCAAAAACCAGTGGCGTAATCTTAAAATGGAGGTAATTTTCAAAATCTACAGCTCCGGAAACATAAAAATACACCCTTACATCGAATAAATCAAAAAAACTTAAATAAGTCGAAACGTAGTGGCGTAATCTTAAAATGGAGGTCATTTTCAAAATCTACGGCTCCGGAAACATAAGAATACATCCTCATTTGAAAAAAATCCGAAAAACTCAAAGAAATCGAAACGCGGTGGCCTAATCTTAAAATGGAGGTCGTTTTCAAAATCTACGGCTCCGGAAACATAAGAATACACACTCATATGAAAAAAATCCGAAAAACTCTAATAAGTCGAAACGCGGTGGCTTAATCTTAAAATGGAGGTCGTTTTCAAAATCTACGGCTCCAGAAACATAAAAGTAGACCTTTATATTGGATAAATTCTAAAAACTTAAATAAGTCAAAACACAGTGGCGTAAACATGAAATGGATGTCATTTTCAAAATTTACTGATCGGGAAACATAAAAATACACCCGTATATCGAATAAGTAAAAAAACCTTGAATGATTCGAAACGCAGCACTTAATCTTAAAATGGGGGTTATTTTCAAAACTAGGTACAGGACAGCATAATACTAGTCCCTAATAAATCCGAATAGGTACAATAAATCGATATCCGTAAGTGAAAATTCTACTTAGGAGAGCATAATAATAGACTTTCATATTGGAGGGGGGAGGGGATGGCCATTATTTTAAAAAAAAATATAAGATTTACAAAAAATTAAAACATTAACTTGAAATGAAAACGGTTGAATTTGAATTGGAAAAGGTTTAATTTGAAATGGAAATGGTTGAATTTGACTTGGAAAAAGTTTAATTTGATCTGGAAAAGGTTGAATTTGTCTTGGAAAAGGTTGAATTTGACTTGGAAATGACATAGGAATATCACACTGAAAAAATCTAAAATGTTAAAATAAATGGATATGCAACCGCGTTATCAAAATTTTTTTTGTATTTTTCAAAAGCCATGCCTTCGATAATATAGTAAGTGGACTTCATTTCGAAAAAAAATCGAAAATTGACAAAAATTCGAAAGTTGAATTTGAAATGGAAAAGGTTGAATTTGACTTGGAAAAGGTTGAATTTGAAATGGAAAAGGTTTAATTTGACTTGGAAAAGGTTGAATTTGATTTGGAAAAGGTTGAAATTGACTTGGAAATGCTATAGTTAGCTGTGAAAATGGCCATAGTTCCAGTAATATTGATATAGAAGGTAATATGTTTGAACACGTATAGAAGTTTAGCTATCTAGAGTCTATGATAACTAGGAAAAATGAAATTATAGGGAAGATTAAGGTTAGGCTGAAGTCGGGAAATGCTTGTTACTTTTCTGTGACAAAACTACTTAGCTCTTGCCTCCTATCCCGGAACTTAAAATTAGAATCTATAAAACCATTATTTTACCAATGGTTCTTTATGGATGAGAAACATGGCCGCTTACATCAAGGGATGAGCAACGTCTTAAGGTTGTTGGAAGTAAAGTATTGCACAAAATATTTGGACCAAAAAAGGATGAGTTAACCGGAGAGTTCGGATGGTCTATGATGGGCGTATGCACAGCACCGCCGTTGCCTGGCAACCTGATATATCAATCAAATGACATAAAAATAGACACGAGTTCACGTTCTGGTGCCGAGGGAGTCTTTTAAATCCCTGCCCACACTCCCAGGCCTGGGATAACCCTGTATAGCCTTAACGGCGAGGAAGGGGAGGACCCAAAAAAATAAAAAAAAGATGGTTATACCACACTGAATTGTTTGAATTATATCCGGTTAATATAATTGAGGTGATTACATCGGGACGAATCAAATGGGCTTGTAAAATTATTGGACTTAGTAACAAAGGAATTCCTAAAAGGTTAATATTTGCTGTGCCAACTGGTAAATGTCCGAGGGGTAGACTGAAGCAAAGGTGGGAAGAGTGCATTAAGGCCGATTTAAAGGGACAGGATTTGGACGTCGACCAGTGGAGGGAGGTGTGTAGACAGCGCTTGGTGGTGTCACCTTTGAATCTTAGGGTTCGCTTAGCCTTTTATTATTACAAGGAACACAACTGTATGCAAGTTTTTAAGATGTGGGAGAAGGGTGCATGGTAAGGGGTTTGGCCCAACATGTAACATACTTTTCGAAACACTTCCTGACTATCGTCTACTGGTCCAATCAATGGCTCATTATCTTCAAGGAAAACCTCCAAATTCTCTAGATGAGGTTCCAAATTCTTCCATGAAAAACTGAAAGAGATCTATTATGAAGAAATCAAAATGGGTAAATTTCGAAAGCTCGATAGTTCACTTCTTGTTGTGTTTAGAAAAATATGTTATGTACAAAAATGTCAGATAATTTTAAGCTGTTTAAGATTAAATATAACCATTTTTTTTATATATGTCGGCCTAAAAAGGAGATATTAAGCGTAAACAAAAAAAAATTAAAAAGTTTTAGTGGTTTTTGGAGCACAGCAGCGAACCCACAAGGCTTTCAAGGGCAGAAACTTTTATTTTTTATATTCACTACACACCTAACAATATAAAAAATAAATTTTAATTACCCGACCTTTTGCAAGGTAACATGTCTAATTTGACTGGGCTATTGTAATTTTCATTAACATGACATCACTTTTTTTTTTTTTTATTATTATTATTGAAATTTACAACTGTATTAAATGTTAAATACAAGTAAATATGAAATAAGTAACATGACATGTGTAACATGATGAGAAACTACCCATTGATAGGTCTCCAAGTATATTTCTATATTAGAAGGTCCCGAGGCCATCTTCTATTCAGACGCCTCGGAGGGAGTTTTATAACTTTAATCAATTTATTTTTAATCTCTTGAGCATTTCACAGTAAATTTCAATTTCATTATAATAAAAAATTAATATATTTCTTCTGATTAATTCGAGCATTTCTTCTTTGTTCTTCTGGCTGAAATTCTTTATAATCTTAAAAATAAAAATACATTGGTTATTCCCAACAATATATCAATCGATAATAGACTCATTCATTCTTCTAATGAAAAACTTCTAGAACCTTTCTTAATTTCTAAATATTTACTAGTTTTATTGGCAAAGATAATTGTTTTTAAAATTTAGCACCATTGACCTTAAAAAATGTTCAAGCTCAATTTTCTTGGGCGAGTTCTTGTTTGGAGGATTAGCCTTACTACGTAACTTAAAGCCATCTTCTCAATTTGATAGTGCATTTTATGTAATTAAAATTAATTTTTTGTATTTTCAAAAGAAAATACAGTTAAAAACAGTGTATTTTATTTTATATTTTAAAATACTTAATTTGAAATACTGCCCATGTCTGCTGCAGAATCATTAAATTTACTTTATATCATTCCAGAGCTGTCTCCAGAGCTCTACTTGCATCCGGCTGCAATATGGTTTGGAGATTCAAAATCTCAATTTTCAGTCCACTTCCTCCACTGTTCCTCATTTTCTTCTCTCTTCTTGAGTATGTCCCCTCCTCCCCATATCTGAATGGGTCTCTCTGGAGACTGTATTTACGTTTTTGGCCTTCACCATTCCTGTATAGAAAACTCCATTCTGCCAGTTTCTGGACTATACATTTTTTATAGCGGCCAGGCAATCCCTGTCATCACAGGGATCCCTCACGCTCAAGCATCCTCCTTTATGCTAGCTTGGGACTGGCAGTAATTCATCTAGCAACACTACACCCACTGGTTTTTATGTGTATATATATATATATATATATATATAATTTTATTAGCAAATACAGTTTTAACATAATAAATAATTTCGAACTTGATCACATTTGAAACCCTTGAAGGGAAAGTATCTGTTATTTAAATTTTTATTATCTTCTATCTCTTTATTGTTTACTATGACCAATGTTATAAAGCACTTTTAGTCTAAATTATATTATTAGAATTTGTTCGAAAAGGATCAAGATATAAAAACAAATTTAGTAGTATTAAAAATTTCATTTATTATTCATTCATTATTTTTACTTTTTAAACTACTGAAGGTAGGGAAAGTATTTACCTTTTCATATAATAAATATTTATTTTCTTGTGATTAGTTAACATATTATTTTGTATTTTTTAGACCATATAAATTGATAATACCTGGAATGATAATAGGAATATCTGCTTATGGCTACTGGAAATTTGGTTTAAGGAAAGTATGTACCTCCATCATAGCATGTAATACTGTTTATTTATTTTCTGGAATAAGTAATCTATTCAACCATCTCAAGCAAAGAGAAAAAATAAAACGAATACTTTCCGACTTAAAACACATTACAACTTATATAAGGAAAAACATAAAAGTAGTTCAAGAGGAAGATTCATTAATTTATTCAAAAGAAAAAGTTCAACAGTTGAGGTACAAGTTTTTGCTTTTTATTTTGTTTTTTCCTCTTATTAAACTAAGACTATATGCAATAAACTCGTAATATATTATTGAGGTATTTTGAAATTGTTAGAATTGTTAATTCCCATAATTCCATAAGAGAAAAGTAATACAAAGAATATGTCATCCTGGTATCTCTAAACCTTTACTAATCTTTGTAAATGTCTTTATAGTACAGCCTCTCTCTCAATGGTCACATTAGCATTTATATTTCTTATTAAGAAATTTGAAATATTGTATTAGGTTGGCCAATAAGTCCTTTCTGTTTATTTTTATGTCTCTATGCGTTATCTTTATACACTTATCTGATGAATTAATCCCTAAGGTGGATTGTTTATCCTGTTTGTAATATGTCAACAATTATATCAGTTAACTCCTGTTGAAAGTAGCTGTAGTATTGTGTTTGCTATTGCACTGTGAATATGGAAGAAAATATCATTCATTATCGGCATATTTTGTTGTATTCTTTTAAAAAAGGTAAGCATGCTGCAGAAGCTCATAATAAAATTTGCAGTGTTTATGGGGATGATGCCTTAACCGAACGCACTAGTCAAAGTTGGTTTACCAAATTTCCTTCAGGAAATGTTGACATCAATAATGCTCAATGGTCTGGTCACTCACATGAAATTGAAATGAGCAATGTTAAGGCCATTGTTGATCAAACTCCCACCCAATCAATGCGAGAGATTGCTATGTCCCTAAATGTGTTGCACACAAGTGTAGAAAACCATTTGCACAAGCTCAGCTATGTTTCCAGTCTTAATGTTTGGGTTCCTCACATGATTTTTTTTTTTTAAATCACAAAAAATGTTATAACTTAATACGACTTTAGCTATCTACAAGAAATTTAGCAGGAATTTAGGGCCACATAAACTACACAAAATGACATCAACAGGACTTTTGTAAACAAACTACAAATGGAGATAAAAAATAAAAACCTATAAGGAGTTTTTGTTTATTTATTCCTTATATAGGCATTACATCAAAAACCATTCATATGGCTTTGAAGAGCAATAATTCAACTTTCCAACGGATATAATAACATCGAATTTGGAGAATATTCTGAAGAGTTATGAATGATCGGAAGGATGTTGTGTTCCATCAAGACAACGTTAGGTCGCACATCTCATTGGTCACTCGCAATAAATTATTGAGTCTTTGATGGGATCTTTTGCCCCACCCTCCCTATTCACCAGACCTAGCTCCAAGTGACTACCACTTATTTTTCAGTCTCTGCAAAACTCCATGAATGGGAAGAAATTCCAAAAGGAAGATTAGCTTTCGGGGTTTCTTTAAAATGCCGAACTTCAACGCCTTGCCACCTGCAGCTGGCCCATCTTTTAAAAGAATTTTCTCTTTGCGACTGTTGTAGAGCTCTCACATTTTGGTGGCCCTGATCCACTCCCAGTCTTTCTGCGCATCATAATCCAATGTGGACTAGACCAGAGCATCCGGTACATTGGACAGTTGCTGGGCAATGGACCAATACTGCAACGGAGCCTCCCATTGACAGTGGATCAGTCCCAATCCTCGGTACCTCCTTGGTGCATACAACATCGCCGTTAATGTATTAGTGGGGAGCTCGATAATGGCCTTGATACACCTGCAAATATTTCTATCAATTCTTTCTAATATCGCAGGATGTATCTTTGTGAGGGGTGCCGTCTGGAGAGGGTAGGCAAGTCCTGGTAACACTTGGTTGACAACGTTGATCTTTTGATCCGGTTTAAGAAGGCAAGAGCTTACCAATTTATCCAAATTATTGTTCAATTTGGTCACCATTTCCTAATTCAGTACCAGCTCTCTCAAGAACGTACGTCCTACATACTGTCTCACCAGCCTTTGCTGAATTGATGGTTTCTCCGTTCTATAGGGTGAGCTTTGTTTGTTGGAGCTATCCTTTATCTATTATTAAGCCCACGCTTTGTTGTGAATTTACAGCCAGACCAATCTCGGCGAGGATCCTCTGCACACAATTAATAATCCTTTCTGCAGCACCCCTGTCACATACCGTAACAGCCTGGTCATTTCGAAGCCTGTGAGGACCACACATTCTTGGTCAGTTGTTAGTTGGTATCCCTAAAGCTTCATAAATTCCTGCTCACACAGGATGTGGTATAGATGGTCTATAGCCAAGTTGAACAGCGAAGGCGACAAGGGTCCGCCTTGAAGTACTCCTCGCGGCACTTTGATCCAGTTTGTCAAGTCCATGACTCCAATCTTGATTTGGTTAGAGCCCAGGAGAGCCACAATTACATATTTCAGGTTTGGTGGTACCCCTCTTGCCTTGATTAAGCTGATTATATGATCGTGACCAACGTTGTCAAAAGTGCCGACGACATCAAGAAATACCACTGTGCAATCATTCTTTCTATTCTTAGCATCTTTTATGATAGTGTCAATGATTCTTGCACTCACATGTGCTCCCGGTAGGCCCCTCATGAAGCCTCTCTTTTGCTGAAGGTAATCTGTTCCCTCAGTTCTTGGTTCAGAACTTTCTCAATGATTTGGCACACAATCGAATAAATGGTAATTGTTCTCCATGCAGATATGCTATTGGCATTTCCTTTCCCCTTATAGATCAGGATTGTGAGCCCTTGAAGTAGAGGCTCTGGTACATAAGCCACCTTCAGCATAATCTCCGCAATAGTCTTGATGACATGGGATATCTCAAAGTATTTTATCATGTCGATCAAAACACAGTCAGGCCCCGGCGATGTGTCCAATGATGTTGATTTTATAGCTTTTTTTATTGCTTGGACATCAATGGATATTAAATTTGGTGTAGGGGTACAATTTTCATAATCCGCAAAAAGGCTTCTGAAGTGGCTTTCGATCTCTGTTATCTTTAGAGAGCATTGCTCAGGAGCGTCGGCATTCATAATATTTTGAAAAACTTTTTTCCTTCGATTATAATAATTATATTGAGCTACCTCATGTTGGTTTTGCTCCTGCCGACGACTCCTATCTGCCTTGTTGGCCCTTTGTGGATTCGACACTTTCCCCGCACCCTTGCCAGCCATGTCAGTTTTATTATTTTTCCTCAACTTATAAAATTTAACGGCAGGATGCTGTGGCCCTGGCAATTCATCGTTGATGGTTTTTAAGAATTTAAAAAAACTGCCCACTTCTTCATCGAATTCTACATGATCAATATTATTTTGCCGAAGAAAGTCATGAAAGGTAGCCAACCATCTGGTTATTTCACTTTTTACTTCATCTCCCCCATCCTCTCCATTTCTATCATTTAATCCATTATTAATTAATCCCCTCAGTCTATCGTTATTTGTCTCCCTGGGATGCTTCTTAGCTATATGGGTTCTGAGACCTCTATCACCCTTGAAACCCAGCCCACAGATGGGGCATACTTTGTTGTTATTCACTGGGGAAGGATCCTGTTCTCTCTCATCTATTTCACCACCTGGCTCTCTGGATGTCTGCTGTTTTAGGCAAACTGGGAAACACATCATCTATTGATACAGTTTTGCCCAATACTTGGTCTTCTTTGTCCTGCCATTCCACCTTAAGAAACTTTATATCGCCGCCCTCCGTGGCAGAACCAGACCTCACGGAGGCCACTACTTGTACTGATCTCAGAACCCATACCTTTTGACCTATGTTAATACTTTTGAAACTACTTGGATTTGAGTCCATATCTTTTTATCCTTACAATAATATGTTAATACACAATAAGATAAATAAAATTACATAGAAAAAATTATCAATAATAAATAAATAAAAATACAGAAATTCAAAGTATTTACTTGACTTCGTTAAATAGGTTTTAAAAGAACAAGTTAATAAATAAGTTACAATAATTTATAAATAGTTGAAAAGTTGAAATTATACCTGTATGTTAAAAATAAATAAATTTGAAATATATATATATATATATATATATATACACACAGATAAAATGAAATCAGCAAGTTAAAATTAAATAAATAGTTTAAAATTATGTGGACAGATTAAATAATGTTAGTAAGTTAAAATTATATAGATAGATTAAAAATATATATAAAAATTAAATTATGTCAGTAGGTTAAAATAAATAAATAGATTAAAATATTTTGAATATTTAATAGTTGACCGTTTCATTATAAAGGAAGGAGATGGTCCGGGGTGGCAGTCGACCCGACTTTGTAAGTCTTCTTCAGGGAGTTGTGTTCAGCTAAGAGTTTCACTTAGAACTGGAGTTCTGTATACAGAATACTCTATATTCTTAATTATTTTTATTATATTTTTTCTTATTCTGGAATCTTGTAAATATTATAAATTAACATACATTAAGTAGAAAAAACTTATCCACCCTTACTCCTCCCCCTGTGAATTCTCTATATTCTTAATTGATTTCTATTATATTTTTGTTTTATAGGAATGATGTAAACGTGATAAATGAACACACACTGAGTAGGAAAAAACTTGAAATTTTCATAATCTGTCAAAAATTAATTCAAATTTTAAAGAATTTAATATTGCTATCAAGGAATATTACATTGACTATTCTAAAAATGCAGGGACAGAAATCATTGGAATGCAATCTTTCCTATATTGCGTTATATTCAGATGAACAACTAGGAATAAACAAATATGGTGAAGAAGTTGACGAGGAGACTAATGTTTTGCCATATATTGATGTAAGTATTATTATTCAGTAAGTCTTTATTTTATAAAAAGTTTTATGTTTTCTTGTAAGCAAACTTTCATTGAATAAATAAACCATAGAGAAGTAATCAATTAAGTGTAGTTAATGTGAATCACCTTGTTTTGAAATATTTGTCCAAGATGTATGGCCGAAAATCAAGGTTTAAACTCAATTTCATTTTATTTCATTGCCTCATATGACATTTCGGCTAATTTGCCATCCTCAAATATTATTGATTATAACAAATTACAAAATTATAACAATAATTAAATTTCACTTAAGAAGTAAGTTATAATTTAATGATGTAGAGATGGTTGACCGTTGATATAATACGAGAAGGAGTTGATCGGGGGGTGCGGTCAAATTAATAATGAATTAAACAATTAGAATTATTTAATTTTTGCCAACGTTTCGACCCACTTTGCAGGTCTTCATCGTAGGTCAGAACTATAGCCCTGATGAAGACCTGCAAAGTGGGTCGAAACGTCGGCAAAAATTAAATAATTCTAATTTTTTAATTCATTATAATTTAATGTTTACTAATAATATGTTTTTTAACCATCAACTGCTAGCCTATTAGTAGGCTTTTTTATACCAACACTTATTGCAGAATATAGCCTATTAATTAAAATGTATATCATTTGATCATTTTCTTTTCATTAGTCATAATTACTTATTGTGATCAATTATGTTATGTTTCAGGTTTTGAGAAATGTTTACTTACTGATCCAGTCTGAAACATTAAGAGAATTTGGATTGTATTCATGTGGATTAAAGAATGCCAAAGAAATATTATCACTGAATGATCTACTAAATCAGTATAGGTCTAAATCATCAGAAATCTTATTAGGACTAAAACAAATTTATAATAAACATTTTTATCCATCATTTCTTCCAAAAAAAGTTAAATCTGTTAATAAAAATATGAAATATCTAGGTAATATAATTAATATTATTTCTTCTTCGTTAAATAGTCTTTTAATTGATTCAAGAAATTTGGAAAATTTTATTGATGAAAATACAGATGAAATTGATCTTGATTCCAGCCAGAATATTGGCTTAAAACTATTAAATATGGAAAGAGAAGTAGCGTACTTAACACAGTATATTCATACATCAGCCCAACAATTTTTGAAGAAAAATAACTATTTTAACCAAAATTTATCTCAAATTTCCCCTAAAAGCGAAGAAAGAATAATAAAAACAGAATGTATGGTTGGTACATCAGATTTTTCTGTTAGTGGACAAGATGAAGTATTTCTAGGCCTAGTTGAAGGTAGTGAAAATATAAAAAATGATGACTATATTGCCGAATATGAAAAACCAGCTGGCCTTGGTATTTTACTTAATGAATTGAAATCCGCTTTAATTACTAAACGTGAAGAATTCGAACGGAGAGAAATTAACGCTTTAAAATCTCTTGAAGACATCCAAAATTATAAATTATGCACTTCTGAGAGTAGTAAAATTTGTGTTTCAAAAATTGAAAGTAATTCTATCCAAAACAACAAATCATATGCTTCTGGAAGTAGTAAAATTTCTGTGATACCAAAAACAGAAAGTAATTCAACACAATGTGCATCTTCTTCAAAATATGAATTTCCTGAAGAAGTTAGAAGTGCTATTCCATCAGATAAAGACCTAGCAATAAAAGCTAGTCATTTTTTAAAATCATGGAACAAAAATACTACTGGTGAATGCTTTGGCGATGAAATTGATGACGATGATGATTAAGACCTGTTAAGGCCACTCACTATTAGCCATAATTTAAGTGTGTCAAATAGCGGAAAACAATGTGCCATCTATTGGTCTCCATAATCCAGCATATGTCTAGCTAGACCATGTAAAAGAAGTGGCCAGGAAGAGGCAGTATGGATGTCAGAGATACCAACACATGACACAATGTTCAGAGATGTCAGAAGGCAGTCCTTCGATGGGAGAATTCAACATCATCCTTCCACCAGCCAGAATCTACATTTATCTAGTCAGTATCTATTATTAACAAATAGATACTATCTCATTAATCACAATGTATATTTTGGTACCCTCAATCAATAACTGTTTATTTCATATCTATTTAATGTTAACTTTATTTTGTTCATTTTACAATCCACTTAAAAACCCCCTTCTGATCATATTTAGCATACAGGTTTGATTCTCTCTATTTCAGGATTAGGGAAGGCCTGATGCCCCAAACAAGACTTAATTTTATCTTCTAAAATAATTTATTTATAATGATTTAATTTTCAAACTTCATATTGAGTTAACGTATTTATGTTATAATTTTATAATAGTATAATTATATATGTTGGGAATATTTTATTAAATCATATAATATTTGTAAGAAAATTACTTAATTACTTAGACTGTGATAACACCTGTGAATTATAAGACTATACCAGTGATATACATTTTTTTATACATAAGAAATAAACATTTTTTTTTTTATTTTTTATTATGTTACCTACAAAAACATTTTTTTAATATGTATTGGATGGGAACCCAATGGGAAACCAATAAGTTAAAATAATTGATAAAAAGTTCTTTGACCTTCCCTCCCACAATTTTTTTTTATTATACTGTAACTTTAATTTACGTGTACATTTCTGCCTTCTGCCATCCTCAGCATATTTGAAAAATGTTATACATATATTTGCTTAAAATACATTTTTTTACAATAAATCTATATTAACCTTTTAAAATATCATCATAGACAATTATCTGCTTTTCAAATATCACAATTTATATCTTTCATGAAAAAAAAAATTGTTTTATATCCATTTTATCTTGTCAATAGACAATGACCACTCATTTAAACAAAATATTTAATTTTAATTAAAATTCCATTTAAAATCATATCAATTAAAAACATAATAATAATTTGAATGGATTAAACAAATTAATTCATTTAAACAATTTTAACAAAATATTACCTGTTATTTTATAACCTAATATTAAAATATCATATTATTAAATTAAAATTTATTTATCCAATTCATATTTTATTCTTTTTTTGCAGTTATACAATTTAATTAAATGACCTTTTTACTAATTGAAAACTTTTTATTTACTAACATTTTTAATCCTAATAGATTGGGGAGGGGGAAGGGTGTTTATTTGGAATTTGGCAATATATTGACTTTTACAGCTTCCAATATTAAATTATTTCAGAGTTCCTATTTTATATAATTTGGGAGCATATCTTTAATGATAAAAATAATTAAATTACTATCCTGTTTTCTATTTTATTTTATTTTGTTTATAATGTCTTTGTAAATAAATACCCCTCCCACCATCTATCAGAGTTGACAATGTTTATAAATAAAAAGTTTTTAATTAATAAAAAAGTCATTTAATTTTTTAAAAAACAAAATATAAATTAGATAAATAACTTTTAATTAATAATACAATATTTTAGCTATAAATAGGTAATAAAATAGAAGGTAATTTTTTTTTTAATTGTTTAAATTAATTAAGCTGTTAAATCCATTCAAATTATTATTATATTTTAAATTGTTTGATAATTTAAATAAGTATAATTATAGTTTTATTTTAAATTAAATGTTTTGTTTTTTCTGAATGAGTGACCACTGTCTATTGACAAGATAAAATGGACAAAAACAAATTTAAAATTGTTTTTCATAAAAAATATAAATTGTGATGTTTGAAAAGTAGGTAATTGTTTATGATGATATTTTAAAAGGGTAATATTGATTTTTTGTACAAAGTTATATTTTAAGCATATATATTTTTAACATTTTTCAAATTTGCTGAGGATGACCTAAGGCCGAAATGTGCATGTAAATTAAAGTTACAATATAATAAAAAAAGAGTGATACAAAAGCTCAAAGGACATTTTATTTACTATTATGCAAAAACATGCTTGTTTTGTAATTTTGTTACTACACGGAGTGATAAGCTTGTACACATATGTTACTACTATTTAAAAAAAAAAAACTTCTCTATATTTCTGAACTTCAGTCATAAGAGACAAGCTTTTGTATTATGGAAAACTATTGTTGATCTGGACTGCCGATAGTATTCCACTTCTATCGAATATAACAATTAATACTATCCTTCTGCATTGTTTCCATTTTAACCGAAATGTATTTCTAATGATTTCCAGTTATTTTTTTTTTCTCTTATCTTTGCTATCAGATCATTTAATACTAATAATAACCTAGTTAAATTAAATGAACATACTGAAACAGGCTAAGTTATATATATATAAACTTAATTATTTAATTGGGAATAAGGCCACAATAATTATTCAATAATCTATAAATATTCGTTGCTGCTGTGTTTATTCGATGTTTCGATCCCGATTTTTTATAAGTTAACAATGAGATCCTCGTCAAAGTCGGTGTCCTCCCCTGGCCTGAGTTATCGAGGCTCTATTTTAAAACTTTGAAGGGGATCCCATTGTTAACTTATAAAAAACCGTAATTGAAATAAACACAGGAGCAATGAACATTTAGTAGTTTATTGAATAATTATTAAGTGACCTCATTCCCAATTAAATAATTAAGTTAAAATAAAATACTCAAAGGTCGATTGGAGAAATTTTGTAAAAAAAAAAAATATATATATATATATATCTGCTCCATATAAATAATTAATTACTTTCAAAACTGACTTTTAATATTCAGCTTTACAATGATGAAAGTTGGTAGGTATTTGGAATTTATCTGACTTAACTTTGCAGGTTAGGGAGAAGCACATTAGCCCAATTTCTTTCAGCCAATCCTCTCCAATCATACTGTCTGTTTTGGTTTTTTAATGTCTATGAGAGAGAAACACTTTATTTTCATAAAATATAAAGGATTGCTGCCCAATTATATTGGGTTGCTATACACACAGCATCATACTCTTCTATCCTTAGGACAATATATGAACTTATATATAAATATACAGAAGTCTTAGTTAATATTAGTAAAATATATATATATATACATTTTTATTTTTTTTTCCATTTTTTTTTTTTTTTTTTTTTTCCTTTTTCCTTCCTTTCATTGTTTATGCTTTTTTTTTTTTAAACATTTAGTTTTGCTTTCTCTCACTTCTCTCTCGTTATCTCTATTGTTTTCAATTATTCATTAAATAAATACATAAATTAAAACTCTCGGGCTAGCCATGCACGTGGTGGTGAATGATTCCCAGGGAGTGGAGGACTATATTTTCAGCCAACCTCGCTACGTCCTTAATGTCGACACCTAGTTCCTGGAGGAAGCTCCTTGTTCTTTTTGGGATAGTTCCGCGAGACCCAAACCAGAGGCCTCACGGTGAACTCTCTCTCTCCGAAGGTCTCACGGAATTTATCTTTTAGGAAAGGGATACATTTATCGTACGTGTTCTTCTTTTCCCTTTCCACTTCACCCGCCTGATCGAGGTCATTGCTCTCAAAGCGGACAGTTGGATCCAAGATCAGCGCTGTCCTTCCTGTCTTGGGAAATGCGACGATATCCGCGTATCTCGTAGAGCCTTCACTATCGATGAAATATACCTCGTCAAAGCAGGTGAATTTCCTTTCCCTAAGGAGCCTCATCAACTCGAACTTGACCCGGTGGTGACGACGTGTTATGAGGAGGGAGTTGTTAGGGTATTTTTCCAGCACATGGGCTGGTGTTTCAGACTCTCTGCCGCATTTACGGAAGAGGGACCCAACTTCGACCTGTCCGCTGACTCCTGGGACTCCATGCAGGGGTGCATAATTAATGTTTAGTTTTAGGGCATTCGACCATTCAGACCCAGAAAGTACTTGCTTTTCATAGATATATCTTTAATTAAAATGAAAAAAATTTCAAATGTATTTTAATTACTTAATTTAACAGATCGGACCAGAAGTAATCCTTTTGTTTTTCTGTACAACTCTGTTATTCTTGAAGGTCGTTATAAAGTTTTTTTTCCTATTATATTCTAAAAAACCTTCTCAAGGGGTAAGGAAAAAATAATAATAAAAATATCAGAATAAAGAATCGTTGTAGTATGAGATATTGTAAGTTTAAGGGAGATACATACTTTCAAGGTAAAGGTTAAAGTAACTTTGTTATTGTTTTTATTTATTCATATTTGAAAAAATGTAACCCATTATGGGTGTGGCTAGATGAGCCAACGTTTTTATGATATACCACTAGGAGGAGGCTTTCAGGCTGAAGCCCCTCCCCCCCAAAATGATAAATTATAACCATGTTTTATTGAAAAAAAAATATTAAAAAATTATCTCTTAAAGTATAATTGTTCGTGTAATTACATTTAAAAGGAATTTAGGAATCACTTCAACACCAGTTCATATAGGTAGTTACTTTCTTATTTTCCTAAGTAATTATCGTTATTTTTATGGAAAAAAGCTTTGGGACTGAAGCACCCCCCAAAATTAAATCCTGGATCCGCTAGTGATCACTATTGTCATATATCCCTTGAAATTTTATCGGAAAAAAAGGAGAAATACTTATTTACTAGTGTTGCCTATTGTGGCCGTCCAACTATGTGGCGCAAAACTCAGCTAATGTCGCTTGCGATTTGTCATACACTTGTGAAGCATGGGACTAAAGCGATTCCGTTCTTCAGTTTGATACATCATGTCATTAAAAACAGTTGCGGCAGTTGTATATTTGGTAATCTCTTTAAATCATAAAAGAAAAAGAAAAACACCATGATATTGGAGAAGAGAGCTATAAATCGATGTTTGAAAAATTCGGTATAATTTAATATTTTACGCTTAGAGAGTGGTGAGAAATTCATTTTAGCCCGAGAGTCTGTGAGAAAAAATCGACATTATTTGATTAAAACTTTAAAAGATTTTTTTTTTAAAATTAGTCTGTCGTCGTAAACCAACGACTTCCTGTCCTACAGTTTCCTTTAACAATACTCCACTTATCCCTGTTGAGCAAATCCGATACCTAGGACTCCACCTGGACAAACGACTAACTTGGAATCCTCATACTAGACTGAAACGACAAGAAACCGCTCGACGTTTCCGATTACTTCAGCACTTACTAGACAAACGCTCTAAACTTCCCATTAATTACAAAAGACTCATATACTTGACTATAATAAGACCTATTTGGACTTACGGAGTTGAGCTATCGGGCTCCACTAAACCATCGAATTCCTCTCGCATCCAATCCTTACAATCAAAAATCCTTCGTAAAATCCTCAATGCTCCTTACTTTGTCACTAATAAAATTATCCATAAAGATCTTAATGTTCCTTATGTTTCAGATCTGGCCCAATCCAGATACCTATCCTTCCATAATAAACTTCAGAATCATCCCAACCCTCTAGTTTCTAACCTTGCTTCCTCTTCAATTCCTGATAACCCTCCGAGGGGTCTGAAAAGAAGATGGCCCCGTGATCTCCTAATGTAGTCATATCATTAGAGTGCTACCATTGGGTAGTTACTCAGAAAGTGTATTCATGTCATTATATCAATTATGTCCAAATTTACTTGATGTATTTA